ATACATGCTTTGCAATACCAGTGCTTAGAGATATGACTTTAGTCACATGTAAGCACAGTCTTTCCATGTCTGTATAAACTAACTGGACAACATGTCACAAAGTCCTTGGCAGAGAAATTGCAGGCTACCATGTGTATTGCATTCCTTTAATTCTAGCTCAGGAGCAAGCCCCTTCAGCTTAATATTAATAGGAGAGGCCTCTGTATATGCGGTGGTAGGATAGACTGGGAGAAACTCATCAAATGAATAAAAAGACGAAATGAAAAATATTACAAGTTTTAGCTGTATACTTCTTTGACCATACTACAAAAGTAGACGATATTTTCATATTTTTGATGAGTAGAAATTTGCTGAAAATACACACACACTTGGGATAATGCTTGCATTTGAGTCATGACATTTGCATTTGAGTCATGTTTTAAAAACATCTAGTCAAATTTCAGGTAGAGACTAGCATAGATATAAAACTTTTTTACTTTGTGATTCTTTAATGTAATACCTATGGCAGTCAAACGTTTTGGCTCTTATTCTGGTAGTACACAGCTATATTAGAAGTATTTCCTGTTCCCCCATTTTCCATTTGGGGCCCGACTGATCCAATTCTGTAAACATACGCAATCCTCCTTTCGGCGGATAATGGTCAAAAGCTACTCCTTGAATTTAGAACCCGGACACTCACCCTTCTTGCTGTCATTCCTTCCTCCGAGATGTGGGTACATTTGGCCAACAATCCTTCCTGTATGTTAGTACTTTTATGCCTCAGGGTTACTAATAAGGTTGATTCTACCAGGATAATGGTGGCTTTCACCTTTGCTCAAATGTTAGAGCAGTGTAGGGGTGAATCGGCTCATGGTCTATTTAAAATGAAGTCTATTGAAAAACTCACTTTACAGATGAGGAATTGGAGGGTCAGACTGTGCAACTGGACGTGCTCCCCCTCACTACCTCCCGTGCCCTCCCTCTCTCCTCCAAGCTCAGCTGCCGCGGATGAGTGTGCGCCCAGGACTATCACTCTTAACGCAGTGGACATATTGGGCAAACGATGGCAGGGGGCTGGCCTATGTACTGGAGGCTGGTAGCAGCACCCCTGAGCCTCCACCCTTTAGATGTGTGGCACCTTCTCATTCTCATCATGACAATCCCCCAAAATTGTCTCTGAATTTTATCAAATGTCCCCTTTGGGTAAAACCATCCCCACCCCAGCCCCACCAAATGCTAACAACTGGTTTATTACAGGCAACATTAGTGTTCTAACCAACTGTTTAATGTTTTATGGGCAATATCTTAAGATGCATTATAGTCAGTATTAGAGCTGCATTGCTTATATGAAAAACCAGTCTTTCCAAAAGGAATTTTACTGCTTTTTTTTTTTTTTTTGGCACATCATCAACAATGGAGAACAAATTCTTTCCTTCAGGGTTAGCTGATCCCAGTTTTAGTATAAGGGAGGTTAAGAAAATGACAGAATACAGACAGTTTTGATCCATGTTTAATGAAAAAGAAGTTACATGAATAGAAATGGACATAAAGCAAAGAGATCCATTTGGGAAATATGGTGATAGGCAGAGCAAGGGGAAAAGGTTTTCTAATCCCAAATTACTCATAGATTCCTATGATCTATCTTTCATCCAAAACAATCTCCTTCAACTCAAAACAAAGTGATAGGTACGAGCTTACGGTTTTCATAAGCACTCGCCAAAGTCATGACCAAACAGTATTTTTCCATTTCCTGCCTGCCCCTAGAACAGCACATGCAAAAGCCTAGAGGTGTTTACCACCAGGTAATGCTGGTGAAGAAAGTGTGACCTTATCTGCTTTTTCTTACAACAGCAAGTTAGTACTGGCTAATGTGCTTTTGGCACAAACATGCTTCCTGCTAATATTTTCACAAGAACGTTTTTATGATATACAACCATGTATTTGTAATACAAATCAATTACGAAGGGAGTGAGCATAAGGCCGGTGACCATCCATGTCTACCTGCGGAGATGTGAGATGGGAAAGACAAGGAATTTCAAGACACAAATGTGGGGCTGCCCTGAGGATCCCACTGTTCTGTATCACGACTTCAAAATGTTTAACTCATGACCCTTAGTGGGGGTCACTTGATATTCTTTATCCTTTTCTCCCTTGATATACGATATGATCATATTTTCCTAAATAAGAAAAAACAACTTTGCAAAAGAATTATGATCTCTGGAAACATAGATTGGTAACAGGTTGACTTTTATTAGTTTACTTAAAATATTCTTTCTCTCAAACTAGATCTGACAAGCATTAAACACATTATAGTTGTTTGTCCGGTGGACGACCGAGAAGTCATCGGTTTTACTCACTATCCCTTTCAAATCGAAAATCTTTTGGCCAGCGCGGGGCCGCGCTGACCTCTTCTCTCACACTGAATCATGCGTTAGGACGAGCCCTGTCTCTTCTGATACTGTATTCGCAGCTTCTCTAGTTGTTCCACGCACTGGGACTGAGCCAACTTCAAGGTCCGATTCTCCTCGGTCAGGGCCTCGAACTCCCGAGCCAGCTGAGCAGCGTCTGTCTTCTCTCTTTCCGCCTGATCCAGCTTGGCAATGAGCTCCTTTCTGAGGGTTGGGGGTGGGGGGCAGAGAACACAAAACTGAATGCGAGCGAACGGGAACTACAGACACCACAGTCCGAAAGGCTCAGCCCTTCTTCCTCACTCTGCCCATCGCGAGTTGCCTCAGCAATTCCTTCTCTTTCTCCAGCTTGGCGAGTTTCAGATCCTTTGTTTCTTAGCACCTCTACAAGAAGACACATCCAAAACGCAAAACATGCCCAAAACTGCTCGATTAGACCTCTGAGAGTCCCAAAAAAAGAGAAAGACACTCAAGAGTACAAAAAAATTAGAAATGCTACAACTAATTTAGTGGGAAAATTCAAGAAAATTTGGTTATTTATTTTTTTTATAATTTAAGATTCTGTTTCACTAAATAAGTCATAAAGAGAAAGACCAGTACCCGCTGCATGTCACCTGTGTGACAAACAGAAACAAAGCAGACAAGTGAAGAACAAAGCTCAGATTAGACAGAATGGTGGTTACCAAAGGGGAAGACGATGGAAAGGAGATAAAAGGGATAAAGCAGGCCCTCCCTGGTGGCACAGCGGGTTAAAGCGCAGCACTAAGAAGCTAAAGCCACTTCCGCATGAGTTCGATGCCCGCCTGCCCCAGAGGTGACCACATGGCGTGGCAG